CGTATTCGTCGATCGAGATCATTCAGTATACGTGTCTGATTTGGTAAATCATCGTGTGATGAAATGGGTGGAAGGTGCAAAACAAGGCATTGTCGTGGCTGGTGGTCAAGGAAAAGGAAATGGTCTTACACAATTGTCATATCCTGCTGGAGTCATTGTCGATCAATTGGGCACTGTCTATGTGGCTGATGCAGGAAATGATCGAATAATGCATTGGCCGAAAGGAGCTACAAAGGGAAGTGTCATTGTTGGTGGAAATGGTGAAGGAAGACGATCGAGCCAACTCAATGAGCCCATCGGTTTGTCATTCGATCGGCACGGCAATCTCTATGTCGTATAAAAGATCGAGTATAAAAGTTCAATATCGATTCAAATGCATGAGATTTGTTGAATGGTGTTTTTTTTTATCTAGTACGTCCAGTCGAATAAACGGATGGATTTCAACAATCATGTTGTTATGACGTGCATCTTCTTCAGATGCAGCTGTAAGAGCTCTCCTCTCTATCCATATCATTGAGCACGTACTTGCTCTCCTTGTTCTCTTTCCTTCTTCACACTGTGTGGATTTTCCGTTACATAGCATGTTTCTTTTCGTGCCGACGACATAGAGATTGCCGTGCCGATCATCATCAACTTCCTTGACCACCAGCCACGACAATGCCTTGTTTTGCACCTTCCACCCATTTCATCACACGATGATTTACCAAATCAGACACGTATACTGAATGATCTCGATCGACGAATACGTATCGTGGGTAAGAGAGTTGATCGAGACGATTTCCACTTCCATTGCCACCTGCAATCACTGTTCCTTGAGATTCTCCTCTTCGATATCGTCTCACTTCATCTTTTCCATTGTCAACGACATAGAGAGATCCATTCTCGTCCATTGTCAAACCCACACAATCGATGTTGGAGATGATTGTTTCTCCACTTGTCCCATTTCGACGAGGCCATCGAACCACTCTTCTATTCGAATAATCGCAGATGATGAGACTATCTCTCTCCTTGTCGACAATCACATCTAATGGGTGAGACAACTGATGAGTCCCACTTCCTTGTCCATTTCCACCGGCAACCACTTGGCCAGTCGTCGCATCCCATTGCCATTCCACAATACGGTGATTCGCTCGATCAGCGATATAGATTGTTTGATCATCATTAACATACAAACCCAATGGGTTTGAGAGTTGATTGATTCCATTGCTTTCTCCATTTCCTCCAGCCAAAGTGAGACCATTCTGTTGTCATCGAGCATTTGGATGAATGGCAATGGAACTTCCACGTAACGGATGAACTGAAATAGAGAGAAAGAAGAGGATAAAATGATAAAATAAGAGAGAAGATAAAGAGAGAGACCATAGAGAGAAAAAATGTTGTGTGTGTGAAAATCGCATTTTTCATCAATTTTTTTCGGAAGCTGACGAGAGGATGCACCAAGGCCTACACATTAAACAAACGAGATTTTGTACGTTTACACCGCCTTGAGGTTGATAGTTTGGATCTTTACTGATTATTATATAGGAATTACAATTATAGGTATTGTTAATTTGTGTAACAATAATAACTGGACCATTGAAATTATGACTAGCCGTCTGATAACAATATTTACATGCAGTGCTACTCTTGTTAACACATCTTGTAACTTAAAAAAACCAATGAACAAAGCATATCTGTAAAAGAATTTCACCTTTTTGAGAACACAAAGTACTTCGGTAGTTCATAAAGTCAACAAGGTCAGATTTGTTATAGAGAATATTACAACTTTCGTTCATAACAAAAGAGCGGCAGAAAACATGAAAGACCTGTCAGCCTAAGGGAAAATCGTTACCATACGTACTTCCAAAATGTTTTTTAATTATCATCATCCTCATGAGTGACAGATTGATTTACTGCTACATGAATGAAATAAAAATCTTTATATTTTTTAAAAAATGAATAACATTATGTACAAGAATGATTCGTGGAGGGGGCGGTTAATGATCTTAAACATGAGATATGTTTGCTTCTGGGAGATTTATTTTGCATCATTGATTCAGCTACATCTTCGTTCAAGTCCTTATTTTTTGGCTTCTTTCAATACGATGCGTTCAGAGCAATCTAGAAAAGAAAAGATGTCTATTTACATATACGACAAGAAAAAATTCTTCATCTTCATCTAGGTCAAAATCTTAAGGTTCTTCTTCTTAGTTAGGGTTCATATTCTCAGCGTTCTCAGGTTCAATCAAATTACATAGAAAATCATGTTACATCAATTTTTATTGTGCTCTTGTTAATGTGGTATTTTTCAGATTCAACTTATCTGTGTCACTTTTGAACATGTCAACGTCCATATCGTGACACAAATAAACAGCAACAAAACAATTGCACCAAACAAACTAACGTTAAATGCTCCTACTTGACAACTTTTCTCGGCAGCTATTCGACTGATTAGCGAATCTCGCACAAATTTTTGATTAATGAGGGTAATGAGTCATAAATCCGCATCAACTCATTTTCTTTCAACAAAAAAAGAATAACAACGTCGAAAAGTTGTGGTAAAATTAATCCGCTACTAGCACTTTTAAGCTCTGATAGAATTAAGAAAATGATTAAGGCAAAGTGGCTTACTGATTAAAAATATTTATCCATACGATAAAAACGAAAGAAAATATCAGCGCACAAAACAACATTTGAACTCATAACAATTACCCACACCAAACAGATAAATCGCTATTCTTGTAGTCAGTAAGGTAATTTAGATTACTATATTTTAAATTCACTAAAAAATCCTTGGTAAATAGTTCAAAAGTTGATGTCAAACGTATATATGTCAATTGGCGATGAAATGAAGAGACAATTAGCAGTGCTTCATCAAGACTTCGAACTGCGCAAATGTGAAGTTTTTCTAATCTTGGCGATAAATGACGTAGTTGTTCAATAAATTTAATAGTAATAGGATGATAATCATCACTATTCACTGTTATGATAATATTTTCGACCAACTCCAGTTCTATATGATTAGTGTCAAATAATTCGATGAAATTTACGATACCCAATTGTATTGATTTTATTGTATTCAAAACACACTTTACAATTTCTAATAGTACATGTGATAAAATTATACCATGAAAGGTTAATTTCTTTAAATTAGGCCATATAATGAGATTATCCAAATAAATAAAATGTGCCAATGATGAACAATTTCCATCTAAATGTAATTGGATAACATTTTTATATCGCTGCTGCTCCTGTTGATGACAACTTTTATCGCCATCATTATCGATATTTTTTCTTTGAACGCATATTTCTGTAACATTTTGATAATTGTCATGTGCATCACGTTCATGTTCCCCTAGTGAAAAACTTACTCAAATCTTACTAAGATCTTAGAAAAATCTTGTTAAGATCTTAGTAAGATTTCGCTTACATTTGTCTAAGATCTTAAAAAAATCTTACTAAGATCATGAGACCCGAAAA